TATAGTGCAGTATGTTATACTAAGGTATTGTTTGGCATGATTTACTGTAGGATAGCCCTGAAGAAAACGGTATTACTCATAATACACTTAAGTTTCAACTCACGTATCCATTTTGACTCTTGAAATGCATTATAAATAAAGAAATAAAAATTGAAACAAATGAGACCACTGTTGATATACAGAAAGTATAAATAGCATAAATAAATGTGGATAGCAGTTCAGACATGTATTTTGTTATTGGTAGAATTAGATAAAAAAATATAAACATACAAGGCTGTTTAATATAATTCTAAAAATGTCTGTATTCAGGTCATGGTACACATGTAATTTTGCTGTGAAATCTCGAGGAAGGCTTCAGGCTTTTGAAAAATATATTAAATATATAATTTAGAAATATTTTGGCTTAGTCTGGGCCTCTGAGGTGATTTTCCTCCTGGATAATGAGCTCTGTAAAAGCCTGATGCATCAGATATAGCATTCAACAAAAATGCACATGCAAAATTGTTTTATTTATTTATATCTAAAGATTCAGTAACTGTTCTATTTCAAAATAAGATTTTTCAGACTATGTTTTACAAGCTTAAGTCTCCATTTGTTCTCGATTTAATGTTATTGTTGTCTAAAAGCAATAACTGAGATCTCATTTGTGATCTTGCTTTCTTGTGGACTATAGTAAGCATGGTATGTTCAATCTACAGCTGTCGTCACTGTTCCATAGCAGTCTATAAATAAAGAGCTCTTACTGTGAGTACAGCAACCTGCAGGTCCTCCACCCTCTGCTCCAGGTGAGCTCTCTCGCTGATGGCTGTCTCCTGAGAGATCTGAGGCGACGTGCAGTTCAAAGGGAACACACATACACTCAGCGGGCTAAAAAAAGCACACCTTGCTCCTGGTATTATCGCTCTGCTCCCCAGTGAGATGACTGAATTTATCACTGTACTCTAGTGTGTAAGTGATTTTCCTTTAGTACTCCTAAATAACATCTTTATAAGATGGATACAAGCAAACACAATGCACACACATGTTCAGCCAGTGTACTTGAGATCAGGCTGTTTCTCGTACCTTGAGTCTCTCTCTCAGGCTGTCTCTCTCTGTGGTCATGCGGTGGAGGTCTGCTGTGGCCTCGTCTCGCTCGGCCTCCACTCGTTTAAGGATGCTTTGTGCAGTCACACTGCTCTTGGGCCCTCGTGCGGCCTTTGACATCATGACCTCCCGTCGTAGAGCTGCTATCTCCTCTTGAGCCTGCAGGGGGAGTCAGGGCACATCTGAGGCCACATTGTTTAGTGAAATACTGGCAATATATTTATTAGTCAGTGCTTTTCTTCTGTGTAATAAAATGTTAAAAATAAAGTGTGTTTCCAAAATTAAATAATTATGTATTTATATTAGATATATTTATATAAAATATCCAAATATATAATTATTTGTTGATGCAAATGTGATGCATGTACTAAAAAAAATGCTAAAATATTAAATTAATATTGTTTTATTAATTTCATATTTTCATTTATATTAAATTAAATCATTGTTTTACTGTACACTGTTATTGTAATGAAGCCAAAATAATTTTGTCAAATATTATCTGGCAAATAATACTACTAATAAATATATAGGCTATATTTATATTTACATTTAGTCATTTAGCAGATGCTTTTATCCATGAGGACAATGGAAGCAATCAATAAAAAAAAAATATATATATATATATTATTATATTAATTTATATTTTTAATTCATATACAATTAAATAATTGTTTTTACTGCATACTGTTATTGTAATGAATAAAAAATGATTAAAATAGAATCTGGCAAATAATACTAATAAAATATATAAATATAATCATTCGACCAAAAGGATGCAAAATTTGATGCAAAAATATTGTGTTAAATTAATACATTGTCGGTTGTCTTAATTTAATAATTTATTTAATATAAAATAAAATAATTGTTTTTAACTGTATATTGTTATTGTAGTGGAGCCAAAACAAATGTTATCTGGCAAATAATACTACTAATATTTATATTATGTATTTATATAAAATATATACATATACTTTTTTGATCAAAACAAATCAAATCAAACAGCTTATTTGATCAAAACAAATTTGATGCATAGTTTAAAAATACATTGTGTTAAATAATAAATTATAATATTTTAATCATTAAAGAATAATTTTGTAAAATCTTTTATTGTCTGTACCTGCAGGTTAAATATCAGTCACACTCAGACAGTCAATACTCAGAATTAACCATGCGGATTTCTTTGTTTTATTCTATGTGTGTCATCCCAAAATGAACACAACAACCTGAAGAATTCTGGGAGGTTCGGCGCTGTCTACCTGCTGGTAGTGCATTCTGGTCTTGTCCCGTTCAGCTGTGAGCACTTTAACATTGACCTGGATCTCTGAGAGGTGCCGCTCGTGTTTCTCCATCATGTTTTGTAGTTCATCTCTTTCTCGTAACACCCTCATTAGCTCTGAATCGTACGTGCCACCCTTTAAAAAGAGAGACATAAAAAATAATTAGCAGAATGAAAAGAAACTAATCTCACTGATATGACTGCAACGATGGCTTAGTAGTACTTTAACAGGTGAGTGTCTGGTGGGACTGCGCTGGGTAGATGCCCCCTTGACGGGGCTGGTAGAGCGACGAGCCCTCAGCATCCTTCTCAGTGCCTCGGTCTCGTCAGCTGGATCAGAACATTGAGAAATGGAGAAATAATCTAAAACTGTTCAAGTAATTGTAAGGAAAATGTGAGGAGAGCTACATTTGGAGACTAAAACATTATTGTTGCATTTCTGGCCTACAGCTCACCTAAACCTGTTCAGGCTTTCTGATCCAGTTTTGACGGTTTCTGGTGCCACCTGTTGGATCCACTGTGTTACTACAATCTAATCAAATTAAAACTTCAATGAAACAAAGTAAATCTTTGGAGCATCTTTGGAGCATCCTGTGCTCAGTTCACTAAATGTTTTAGCAGTCATTAGTTTGTGCTCTAGTTTGGGTCTATGTATGAAAGCATTTATTTTGTAAAGTCACTTAATTCACAATAAGAAATCTTAATAAGAAATGTTGATGGGTATTGATAGCTATACATTTCAATAAAGCATCACGACATGTTTATACCGAAACGTCTTGATTCGACTCACTAAAAACAAGTTTTCTCAAGCAAAATGTATAAAAATAAACCACAACGCCGACAGGTTGTCATGGCAACTGAGATATTACGTTTGCACGTCACTGAAAATGCGTCCCGCGCAACAATTATACTTGAATTCCTTTTTAAGAGCATAACATAAAAATTATATTGCATTTTAATATTTAATGATAACTGATAATTGTTGGCAAGCCACAGCATCCACTAAAAGTAGGCTACTGTGCTTTGCACTGACACCAATATATTTGTATTACACAGGCACATAAAATCATTCACACGAAATAACTGTAAATTTGAACCTCGCATTGATAAAACCTGCAAATACATTCTGCTTTCATGAAAGACAACGCAGAAGACAAAGCATTGTTTGTGTAAGTTAGCTTGTGTTACCTCTTGTAGTGGTTCTGGCAAAGGAAAACGAGCGTGTTGAAGTAAATCTCAACACGTTAAAGCTCTTTACCCGGAGGGATAAACATCAACATTGACCAATCACAACACAGCATTGACCTGTCAGTCAAGATAGTCAGAGAGGCGGCGACCAATCAGAGCTCAATCTCCCTCCGTTTGCGTCCGTTGCCTTGACTACAAGTTGTGAACGCTCACGTTCAGTAGTTTTGAAGTTGAGATGAAGCAACGAAGCGGAACCAAGTGCAATAAATATAAACTAAAACAAAACAAAACTATTTGTGACCCTGGACCACAAAACCAGTCATAAGTAGCACGGGTATATTTGTAGCAATAGCCAACAATACAGTGTATGGGTCAAAATGATCGATTCTTCTTTTATGCCAAAAATCATTGGGATATTAAGTAAAGATCATGTTCCACGAAGATATTTGGTAAATTTCCTGCCGTAAATATATCAAAACTTCATTTTTTATTAGTAATATGCATAGCTAAGGACTTCATTTGGACAACTTTAAAGGCGATTTTCTCAATATTTAGATTTTTTTGCACCCGCAGATTCCAGATTTTCAAATAGTCGTGTCTCAGCCAAATATGGTCCTATCCTAACAAACCATACATCAACGGAAAGCTTATTTATTCAGCTTTCAGATGTATGAATGTATAAATACAATAAAACAATTACCTTTATGACTGGCTTTGTGGTCCAGAGTCACAATTTGTGGGAAAATATAAATATAATTGTGTATGAACAAAAAAACTATACATAATTTATTAGTCTTCTGTTAATTGTGTTCAAAATTCAAAACTATACACTGTAAAAACGTTTTTTTTTTTTTTTGAAGCCGTAAATAAAAATTATTGGAGTACGTTTTCCAAGAAAACAATAGCTCAGTTCTTCCACTTCAAAATTTCACATTTAATTAAATGCGTTACTTCTCGTTACATTGTAACCGTTTGTGAAACATACCAGCAATGACTGAGTAAAAACTCTTTTTTCCAGTGTGTTTGCGTGTAATTTAACGCTGAGAAGTGTTGACATCCACGACGGCAGGCGACAGTAAAGCGCAGGCGCGTCACCGAACCCAGCGAAGAATCGCCGCGCCTCGTGGACGCGCACAGTGAGCGACGCCAGATTAGAGGAGGCGCGCGCACGCACAGGAGGCGCATAGTTTCTCCAAACAAAAACTATTGTGCGTTTTCACGCCTTTGGAGAGGTTTGGAGAGGTTTCGCTTTTAATCCAGGAGCGGAGGATGTACGATCTGTGAGGACTGTGATTGTACCGGAGATACAAACATTTTATCAGCCTCTTGTCAGACTTTGTTTAAAGACAAAGAGAAACAACTAGATGTTTTTACGGATCAGATCCATGAAACTCCGAGGAACAGCAACAACCTCATGATTTACCTCGAAGGGATGTATTCATCAAGATGCACGCAGTAGATTAATGCATTTTAATGATTTATTTTTATTTTGAAAATACGATTTTCTGGACTTCAGCTCTCAGAGCAAAGAACAGCTAGAATCAAGAATTTTCTTTGTCTGTGCATTATTGCATTGGCATACTGATCACTAAATGACTGCTAGTGTAACACACCAAGCTCTCCAATTATAACGTGCAAAGACGAACATGTCAACACTGTTTCCTGATTAGACAAGAGACTGAATAGTATTGGATTGCAATGGGAATGCAATAGCAGTTGCATTGATTTACGATTGTTTAGACATTAATTGAAAGAAATCTCCCTTTGTCAACCGACCAGAGAAAGAGACGTGTGGGAACTGGCCATGTCCTTCTTTAATTTCCGAAAGATCTTTAAATTGGGCGCAGAGAAGAAGAAGAAACACTATGATCACGTGCACAGGGACACAAATCCGGAGGAAATCTGGGAGATTGTGGGAGAACTGGGGGATGGAGCCTTCGGAAAGGTGTTCAAGGTACAGTATAAACAAAGAAATTGATGAATCTTCTCTTGCTGTAAGAGTTGGTACCTGTTTTATGTGATTTTTGGACCCCAATAGTTTTCTTATGAATGGAATATAGGGTTACCTACATGTAATGCACTTATAATGGAATTGCTGTATTGATATCTATCTATCTATCTTGTACACACACTAATGAAAGTGCAAAAAGTTTCTGAATTCTTTGGGATTTATGATGTCACCACTCGCATGACATCATCAAGCACATACCCCTGGTTGTCATTCACATGACCTCATCCTGTAGTGTCCAGTCTGCTTGATTGTTTTCTGGTCTTGTTCCCTTGAATGCTTTCTCTGTTATAAGGCTTAATGGTTCTTAGTTTGTTAGTGGCATAGGGTGATTTAGAGATTAAGTGTAAGGCGGCCATAACGTCTATATACAGTCAAACACCGGCGTTAGTACTTCTTCATGCTTCCAACAAGTATGATGGCGATGGTTTGTAAATAGTAGTATTATAGTCAGCTCGCTAATGATTATTTGGATTGAGGTCCTGGGGTTTTAGGACAGTGGGTTTTGTTGATTTACAGCCGTCACAGTGAAGTTTTGTGTGTTGTTGGAGCTCCACCACTATGGGCACTAAACAGACAGAATAATGACTGTTTTCAGACAAGTTTCCCACTTTTTCAGTCTACCATGGTTTGGACAAATATATTCACCAGCCGTAAATATGTTAAAGAAAAGATTGTTTCTTTTTAGACTGTGGCTATAATCATTTTAGCACCCTTAAAAATGAGACTGCGTAACTTTTTTTTTTTTTTTTACAAAATATTTGCTTAAATTAGAAACACTTGATTTTTTAAAATAATTTTAACTCACTTTCAATACTATTACTATTTTTCGTCATTGTTGTATTAATTTATATTTTATGAAAAATGTGTATTTGCATTACAAATTGTATATGTATTTTTTTTTATTGAATGTAAGTTTTACATGGTCAAAGTTTGAATTCTAAAAATGGAATGTCTTGATAACATGTCAAATACATCAAAAGCAACTGCATCACACATAATGGCAAAATGCAATCAAAAACCACTGCACATTCACAATCATCCTGCAATAAACAGCAGACTTTGACCTGGTTAATTTTTCACTACTGAATCACGTTAGCTTCTAAATACTTTAGATAACCACTCACTTACAGAAGCCGTACATTGGCTCGAATTGTTCTGTGACCTTCATTGCTCTGCACTGCAGAAAGACTCATTCCTGTGAATGACACTGAATAGGATTTCTGTTGAAGGGTGGACTGCGTCACGCTGACTGCATGAGTCTAATTAATAGTTTTTTTCCTCCAAAGTGCTTGTTTTGCTAGTTATTAAAAGAGATCTACACATAGTCTACACATGTATTTTTGTATGTCGTGCCTCAAACATTTATGTCTGATTCATCAGGTAGTTTAACATCAGAATGTGTACAAGAAACAATAACATAATAAAAATAAACGTAATTTACTACCATTAATACAGATTTTCATTCTCATCACTAACAAAATATTCGTTTAAATGCCTGCCAACCAGTCTTGCTCTTTTTTTAATGTTATATTGTACACACACCCTAAAAATGGTTTACTTGTATGATACATTTTTTAGTGGGCTATGTATAAATAAACTTATTATTGAAATATAATTTTCTTTTTATTCAGGCTCGAAACAAGCAGACAGGCATTTTTGCTGCTGCAAAGGTGATTGACACCAAAACTGAAGATGAGCTGGAGGACTACATGGTGGAGATCGACATCTTGGCATCATGTGATCATCACAATATTGTCAAGCTGCTCGACGCGTTTTACTACGAGAGCAAACTGTGGGTGAGTGTGGATTTAGTTTCTGTTTCATTGTTTCCTTGTTACACAGACTTTGTTTTGATTGTGTTTTCCACAGCAATAGTTTGAAATCTTACTTTAAAAAAAGATTATTAGGCCCATCTTGTTTAATGTTAATCTGCTTCATATTGCATGGTGACTAGATCATCATCACCCTTGTTTTCTACAAGAAAAGACATTGGACAAAGGAATAGGAGACAATCCTGCTTGCTTTCTTGTAGACTCGAGCCATTTCCTTCCGACGCAGTGGAAGTTTACAACAAGGTTGAAGTGGCCTCAGACAGCTTTCAGGTCACTTCAGTCCAGCTTCACTTCAGTATGGTCTTTAGAAACTTGGAGGTTCAAATAATAAGAACATGCACTAATTTTTATCCTTCATTTTGGCTCTGTCCCAAATGGCACACTTCATGTGCACTTTCGGTCTTGAGGACTTACAATGGCCACTGTGTGCGCGTGTCCGCTAAGTCCACGAGACCGTAGGGCAGGGTTCCTCAAATCTTGCCCTGGAGGGCCAATGCGCTGCAGAGTTTAGCTCCAACCCTGATCAAACTCACCTACCTGTGATTTTCTAATGATCCTGAAGACATTGATTAGCATGCTCAGGTGTGTTTGATTAGGGTTAGAGCTAAACTCTGCAGGAAAGTGGATCTCGTGGGCCAGATTTGAGGATCCCTGCCGTAGGGTGTCCCATTTGTCATTTTAGCTTTAAGAAGGGTGCTCACGAGCGCCCCCTTTGTGTCCGCTATGCGCCCTCGATCCGCACTTCAATCCGCAAGCCTGCGAGCTACGCAGCCGACTTCTACTCGGCAGTCAAAGCGGCATTACGTCATGAAAGTGTGGACTCAGAGGAAGAATGTGAGGGTTTAGGGTGCCATTTGGGACAGGGCTTTTGAAATCAGTTTCAATCTTCTTTGTTATATTTAAAAACATTTTAAATTGACAGTAATGAGCCCAAACTTTTATTTTATTTTGTTTTATTTTATTTTGGGTAGTTCCTATTTATTGTCAATGATTATTCTTATTGCTGTTATAAGTATTTTTTACTGTATTATCATAAATGCGGTAATACATACGTTAAAAAAATCATGATAAATGAATGGCAGTACAAAAATACTATCTTGATGTGTGTGCATGTGTACACACTACTATTCAAAAGTTTGGGGTTGGTCAGAATCTTTTAAATGTTTTTGAAAGAAGTCTCATGCTCACCTGGGGTGCATTTATTTGATCAAAAATACAACAAAAACAGTAACATTGAAAAATTAGGACATTTTGTAATAAAATTATTACTATTTTTATTCATTTTAAAAATGTCATTTATTCCTGTGTTGGTTCAGCTGATTTTCAGCATCATTACTCCAGTCTTCAGTGTCACATGATCCTTCAGAAATTATTCTAATATGCTAGAAACATTTCTGATTATTATCAGCTGTTGTGCTGCTTAACGTTTTTCGAAACCATGATTTTTTTCAGGTTTTGATGAGTAGAAAGCTCAAAAGAACAGCATTTATTTGAAACATCAAATAATATCAAATAAATTTAAAGTGTCATTGCTAAAAAAAAGTGTTAATTTCTTGGGAAAAAATCTTATTGATGTCAAACTTTTGAATGGTAGTGTAATATTCTGGGGCTGCAAAACGATTAATCATGATTAATCACATTCAAAATAAAAGTTTATGTTCACATACTATATGTGTGTGTACTGTGTACATTTATTATGCATATATACATTTTTTTTTTTTTTATATTTCTATTTGTAAAAGAAGTCTCATCTTGTGCTTTGAGTATGGCCATTGTAGTTCTGAGACTGAATGACCGCACTGTGTGGGCTATTGTGTTCTCATTGCTGTCAGTCTAAACCAACATCTCACCCACAATGACACAGCGCTCAAGAGAATGAATAACGCTGACTGTTCGGAGTGCTGAGGATCAGACATTAACACTGTTTTAAAGCTTCATGTGTTTCTTAGCTGAAGCCATTTGCACTTTTATTTAAAAATCTGAGCTCATTTTGGAGTCTAACATCATAAATTTATAGTCCGCAAGCAAGTAGCCTAATCCATGATTATTTAGTGTAGTAGTACATTTTTAGACTGATTCAGTCTATGATTCATGCCGATGATTCTTCTGATTCATTCAAAAGAACTGCAATGATTCTGAGTCCGTGAGGACAACACAATAGGTAAAAGCTTTGTTGATAATTTGTCTCAGACTGACGGCTGAAGGTCTGGAATTCATGGCAGTTTTCATTGGCCAAGGCCCGCCCATGAGGCCGTTTGACCGACATGTCAAACAACCAATCACAGTTCGTTTCGTTCAGCATCACGTTTCGGGGCGTGGAAATGTCGCCACAATAACAGACCGGTGTGTAAAACTCTCGGATGTATTTTAAAGATTCTATGCCGCAAACTTTAAATATTTCACATACTTTTGAAACGCCAGCGTTTAGTTGATCCTGATAAGCGCTCGTCGTCACAGTTGTAAACACTACAGCTTTCTTCTTTCGTGAGGGGGTTTGGCGTCACGGCATCATTGTTTCTAGACGGAACGTTAAATAACGCGATACACGCGTCTCACGGAAATCCTGTAGAATTCAACCAATCCGATGACGACTTCGACACTCCTGAAGTGTTTCCACTTTTGTGTCCCATATGCATCAGACGTTTAGCCAACGGTCCGTGGGCGTGACGTCTGAGGCTGAGACTAGTCTTTACCAGTACCTGCCCATCCTCTCCAGATGACCCCAGCCGTGACCCCTCCATCCGCCTGCTGTTCACGGAAACTCTCCTGTTCTAATCCTATTAGGACAGAAAGGACTCAATTCTGGCCTGCGCTAATGTGCAGAAAGCTTTCGTCCTTCCTCGTGCTCATACAGGCCTCTCTCGCTCTATCCTGTTACGTCATTCACCATATTGAGGAGCAAGAAAAGCCTTCAAGACTCAGCAGCCTCAGTGACCAATCATGACCCTGCAATGCCGCGCTGTTGACCAATCACAGCCCTGCGAAGTGAATTGTTTTGTAATAATGTGGTCTAGTCTTTCCAGGTTTGGATGTTGTTAAACTGGAGTTCTGGTTTTGTCCATTGATTTGCCACAAACTCTGATGTGTTCATGGGCTAAGCTGAGTGAGAGTTCTAGATGTTGTTTTTTGTGCACAAGAATAAATGAGTTGAATGAACAGTGGCTCTCTGAATGAGTGCAGCTTGTCTGTGTTTTAAACCACTGACTGGCTGCATGTACTGTAGGTGCGTTCATGACAATAGGATAAACACATTTGTCTACTAAACACAATGCTGCTATTGTGCCCAGGTGAACGTTGGGAAATAAAGACAGTATGCTAGTCTCAGTCAATCTGTTTTGTGCAATGTAATGTAAGCAGCCATGCTTTTGTAAAACAGTGTGATTGTGTTTTAGGAAAGACCCAGTTTTATGTTCTCAATGTTTCTGTCTGCAGATCCTGATAGAGTTCTGCGCCGGCGGAGCCATCGATGCTGTCATGCTCGGTGAGTTCATACAAAGCATTTAACATGCAAGACTGCATCAGGAAAAGGTCACTTACAACGACCAGTTCCTTGTCATTAGTCAAAAGCACATTTAATTCTTAAAGGCGAAGTTGAACTTTAACTGCGCATTTTGCGATTATTCACACTGGTTGCTTGACCTGTTAAAGCAATCAGTTCAGTATAGTTTTGTTTTGTAGAATGAGGGTCAGGAAATTAATACTTTTATTTATCAAGGATGCATAAAATTAATCAAAAGTGACAGTAAAGACTTTTATAATGTTACAAAAGATTTCTATTGCAAATAAATGCTGTTTTTTTACTTTCTATTCACCAAAAAATCCTTTAAAAAAGTATCACTATTTTTACAAAGATATAAACAGTACAACTTTTGATAATACAATATTGTGAAATATTGATAATAATAATAATAAATGTTTCTTGAGCAGCAAACCCGCATATTAGAATGATTTCTGAAGGATCATGTGACACTGAATACTGTAGTAATGATGCTGAAAATCAGCTTTGCATCACAGGAATAAATTTGATTAATTATTATTAAAATATATTAAAATAGAAAACTATTTTAAATGGTAATAATATTTCTCAATATTACTATATTTTTGATCAAATAAATGCACAAAAGAGACTTTTAAACGAAATTAAATCTAACTGACCCGAAACTTTTGAATTGCAGTGAAAGCTGAAATTTCCATCATGGGATTCGTAAAATGTTTGTTGGTGATGCTTGTATATCACAATATCTACTTTTTATTGAAACACCATTTAAAAAATAAAACTGAAAAAATAATGGTCCTTAAAACAAGTTTCCAAATTAAAGGTAGACCTGTCTACCAAAATGAATTGGCTTCATTTTGACTGAAATTAGCTTTCAGTTCAGTTAGTGAGTCAAATGTTGATTCAGTAACTGCTTGGGCTGATTCTGTGAGTCAAGTACTCATCAAACTGATTCAAACTGGTAACTCCTGAGTTTTGGGATGATTCATTGCAAGAACTCAATGATTCATTGCAATACTCAATGTTAGGAAACAGAAAATATTCTAGTAATAGTATATGGAAATGATCTTAAATCTTTGTGTAAGTGTATTTGTGTGTGTAAGTGTTTCCTTCTTCATACGTGTGTGTGTGTGTAGAGCTGGAAAGGCCTCTGACGGAGCCGCAGATCAGGGTGGTTTGTAAGCAGTCTCTGGATGCTCTGCAGTATCTGCATGACAACAAGGTGATCCACAGAGACCTGAAGGCTGGAAACATCCTGCTCACCCTCGACGGAGACGTCAAACTGGGTGAGAGAGAGTACAGAGAGGAACTGAGGAGGGTCATTTACATGACAGACTAAACCGCAGCTAAAATAAACTTTTACGTCAGTGACCAGATGTAAATTATTCTGTGATGCTGGGTTGTGAAAATCCTGAATGTCATTGCATTAGACAATAAAATATCAAGACAAGCACTGTTTATTTTATGTAAAGGTGGCACAAGCACTCTTTTCAGGCAGAATGTTCCCAAAAAGAACATTTTCTGTTTTTCAGCGGACTTTGGCGTGTCTGCCAAGAACACAAAGACCATCCAGCGAAGAGACACCTTCATTGGAACCCCTTACTGGCAAGTTAGAGTTTCATAAAATGAAGCTACTTGTACTTACACACATTGACGTTGCTGACACATTGATATCACTCTCTTTTATTCAGGATGGCTCCAGAGGTCGTGATGTGTGAGACGTCTAAGGACAGGCCGTATGACTATAAGGCTGATATTTGGTCTCTAGGAATCACTCTGATCGAGCTGGCCCAGATCGAACCGCCCAACCATGAGATGAACCCAATGAGAGTTCTGCTCAAGATCGCCAAAGCTGAACCGCCTACTCTCCAGCAGCCTTCAAAATGGTACAAAACCCAGTGAATTGTATGAATAGTATGACACTTTTTACTAGGCCTGGGCGATAAAACAGTATCAATATTTATCGACGGTACACCTTCTTTGATAACGATATAAAACATTTTCAATATAGTGCACAATATAGGCACGTTCTGTAGTTACATCGTGTACTAAGACCGACGGAAAATGAAAAGTTGTAAATAATTTACAGACCGTTTCATATGCATTCCCAACATTTTAATTATGCAATTTCAATGTTACACCTCAAATGACAAGGGACTGTTCATATTTAGCCTCAGATGGCTTCAGTATGCATAGTATTTAGATAATATAGCTAATTTAATGCTATAATAAACACAAATGTGACCCTGGACCACAAAATGTATTATATTTGTATATTTGTACAATACATTGTATGGGTCAAAATTATTGATTTTTCTTTTATGCCAAAAATTTTTAGGATATTAAGTAAAGATCATGTTCCATAAACATATTTTGTAAAATTCCTACTGTAAATATATCAAAACTTAATGTTTGATTAGTAATATGCATTGCTAAGAACTTCATTTGGACAACTTTAATTTAACGATTTTCTCAATATTTTGATTTTTTTTTTGCTCCCTCAGATTCCAGATTTTCAAATAGTCGTGTCTCAGCAAAATATTGTCCTATCCTAACAAACCATACATCAATGGAAAGCTTATTTATTCAGATGATGTATAAATCTCAGTTTTAAAAAAATTTACCCTTATGACTGGTTTTGAGGTCCAGGGTCACATATATTAAAATTTTTGGTAACACTTTACTGAAATTCTTTATATAATATGCATTATAGAAGTAGTTTTAATGCATTATGCCTTGTAATGCACTTTACAATGCATTGTATGATCTCATGAATAATTGTAACCACAGTTATAATAAATTATAGTATTTATTTGTTCATTGTTACAACTTGTAATGTTTTATAATGCAATAAAAACATGACAAACAAACCTTTAAATGTTATAATGCAGTTTAATTTTGATTAAAATTATTTATGAAAAGATATAATGCATTACAACAATCATTATAAATACCTTTAGAATGCATTATACATAAAGGCTTTAAGTAAATGTTATCACATTTTTATTTTACTGAGCCAGCAGGTTTCAAAATGGTATTTTACAAAAGTTTTTTTATTTGAAAATAATAATAATCATTTTAGTAAAAGTAAATTGATGTTTTTTTATTTTATTACATTTTTAATAACTACATTTTATTATTATTTATTATTATTTTATTCTTTTTTAATTTAATTTCTTTCTTTTTTTTCATTGTATTTTACCTATTTTAATCCTTAAAAATTAATATTAAATATGAGTGTTTTCAGTGATTAACTTTTAAGTATGCTATTAATGACAGCGACAATAATCTAAATGTAGAAATAGGGCAAGTGAGCCTCCGCAAATAAATATACAGTAAATTAAAATTAATTTAAAAATTGTGCATATATGTATTATTTCATATTATTGTGTTTATATGCGTGTGTGTGACTGTGCATGTGTATATACGCGATCAATGAAAATCACTATTGGAAACAATGGTTTCTCATGATCTCAAAAATTAAATGCTTAAATGCCTGAAATTAGTTTTGTAGACAAATATGATTATGCAATATAATTTTATTTATTTTATTTATTTATTTTTTTCGATTTTTTTATTTTTTATTTTTTTACCCGTACTTCCATTTGGTTTATTTAGTTGTAATGTCTTCTCTCTGCATCCTTCTGCAGGTCTCCTAAGTTTAATGACTTCCTGAAACATGCGCTGGATAAGAACGTGGACAACAGGTGGAGCACAGCACAACTTCTTCAGGTGAATTGACATGTCCCACCTTTATTTCAACACTTATAATCTAAGACCACATCCTCACAAACTTGACCTAACCTGAGTCAGTATAGCAGCAGTCTCTCAGCGTAAAAGCCCTGCTCTGCTGCTCGTCCGCCTGCTGCTCCATGTGGCCTTTCTTGCCACATGAATCAGCAGCTGTTCATTTAGAAGTTTGTCTGTGTCAGGCACTTTCTGCACCAGCCTTCATCCTAAGAACTGACGTCAGCAAAGGAGATTTTCTTTCCGAGGCTTTAAGTAGGCCAGCCCTAGCACTGACGGCGAGCATATACACACACGCTTACTTACAAGCGCTAAACGCTGCAGTTAGAGGCTGAATGGGGTTGAAAATACAGAACTCCAGTTTTCCTCTAATTAAGGTGATCATATCAAAGAAGCTGCACATTCTCAGACCAGCTATAGACTGTCTGCATCAGGTCTCAAAGCCAAGAAAGGTAAGAAATGGAGACTAGGATCCTCATGGGACATTGATTTTGTTGTGCTCGTTTTCCTCTTGTCTGTTGAACACTTGAGTTTCAGGCATTTCCTGTTTGGCCTATCTTATGACAATGCAATAAATCTTAATGGTCCTAAATTAGGCCTTATTTTCTTAATGCCAAATAGTGATGCACATTGTATCATTATCATATTGGTTATCATACTAGATGTGGTTCTTGTCCACCTTACCATGTTGGTTTAATTGTGGAGGCTCATTTTTATTTATTTTTGCATTTAGATTTGGCTGTCAAAGTAAATTTTTAAAAACACTAATAATTTAATGCCATTATTTATTTATTTATTTATTTATACTTGGCCACCAGTTCCAACAGGCTTCAAAAGGATATGAGACGAAGGTTGATTCATGTAAAATATATTTTCTTGTTGCTTTTTTTTTTTTACCTTGCACATTTGACTGAATTTGTTTCAGTTTTTTGTTTCATTTGTTTCTGGATGAAGAAACACTAATAATTTAATAGTACTGTTAAATGTAATCTTTTGCAAATCTCAAAATGCATATTCATTTTTCATATTGCACAATACAATTTTGTACAGTAAAATGTACTATATATAAATAATAAAAAATTTGTTTTTTATTTATTTATTTATTATTTTCTGAAAATTGTCAATAATATCAGATGAAATTAAAACTTGTATATTAAATATGTTGGACGATGCTTGCTTTAAAGAATTTATCTGGAACAGAGTAATCTGACTTTTTCTGGATGTTCAGATTATCACTGTCTTGTTAATATTTGCATGTGTAATTTTAATATTTATTGTAGTAAAAGTAGTTTCCTTCATCTGTGCAGCACCCGTTTGTGAGTAGTGTGACTGACAGCCGACCCCTGCGGGAGCTCATCGCTGAGGCCAAGGCGGAGGTCACAGAGGAGATAGAGGACCTGAAGGAGGAAGAGGAGGAAGAAGATCATGAAGGAAACCTGGTAAGAGATTATAGGAACTGCTAGCAAATTTAGAACACTTTTCAGAAAAAGATTAAATCTAGTGTAGACTACTAAGTCTGGATGAATATTCAGCGTACCGTTGGCCTGTAGAATGTCCTGAGATACCTTTTGCATTTATTACATAGCAGCATGTTTCTATTTTTTCTTCTTCAGTATTGTGCTAACATGTTTAAAACGATCTTTCCCTCAGCTGCTTCCTGGACACAAACGCGCACCATCTGACGCTAGCGTTGGAAGCTCTGAAGACGAGAAGCTTCCGCAGTCACCATCCACATTGGAGTCTGTTCCTGAGAAGATTGAAGAGGCCTCTACACCCAAACTGCCAGATGATAATGTTACAACTGGAATAAAGAAGGAAGAAGAACCTCTGAAGGTGGGTGAGAACCACATTGAGGATGTAGCAGAACCTGGATCTAAGCAACAAGCTGTGGAAGTATCTCCAAAGGAATCTCAAGAACCTAAAGCTGAAGAGAAGCCTGTAGAACCAGAGACTCCTGCTGATACAATAGTCCAAACAGAGGAGCAAAGAGCCAAACCTGATGGAGAGAAACTGGAAGAGGAAAAGGAGGTGGTGGGCAATGGTGAACTCATAAAGGAAGTGTCTGCATCAGACATTTCTTCATTGGAGACACCAACAGAACCTGTTAAACAAGCTGTGCCTGATGAACCTATTCCAACATCTCCATTGAAAGAAGAAGAGAGTTTTGAGGGAAAGGAGAAACCTGAACTGGTGGAGAAACAAAGCCCAGTGAAGCCTAGGTATGTGAAGAAGGAGGACTCTGGGATCAGTTCTTCAGCTGACAACAGCAGCATAGACCTGAACTTATCCATCTCCAGCTTTATTAGCAAATCCAAGGAGCCAGGAACCGTCTCTCAGCAGGTGAGAAACACCTTCTGTCAGTACACTAGTTTTGGGATCTAGCAAAAATGAAAAATTTTCAGTGGAGCCTCTGTTTTAAATTTTAGTAGTGTTACACCTGGTTTGATTCTTTTTTTTATTTTTTTAAAGGGCACCTATTATGCCCCTTTTTACAAGATGTAATATTGGTCTTGGGTGTCCCCAGAATGTGTCTGTGAAGTTTCAGCCCAAAATACCCAACAGATCATTTATTATAACAGCTGGAAAATGACATTTTTGGGGTGTATCTAAAAAAAAGAGCTGTTTTGGAGTGTATCGCTTTAAATGCAAATGAGCTGCATATTCCTGCCCCATCTCCAGAAGAGGGCGTCACGTATACGTCTCTCTGCATTGCATATCTACAGCAATAAACAGCCGGTTAGAAGCAACATAACTGAGAGCAAGAGAACCGGTGTAGTGCCGAAATTTGTACCCTGCCAGATTATGCATCCCCTAGTATTGGTAGGTTTAGGAGTAGGTGTGGGGGAGGGGTTAGGATTAGGGGTGGAGTTTGGATTAGGCAATCAGGTAGGGACTTCAACGAGGGGGTGCATAATCTGGGGGGGATGCCCCCAGACCCCCCTACAAGGGTCACATTCCGAACTATGTCACCTTTTTGACCTCTTGTGAGTTTGCAGGTATGTATACAATGTGACGTCACATTGCATGAGAATCAAAACGGCAGGCCTAGTGAGACTGACTTGGTTTAAAGGGGATTAAAAAATGAGGAGTGGGTGAATTTTTATTATTGTAGGGTGGTTGTGTTCACACACTGCCAACACACATTTATGTCTAAACACCATGTAAAAGTGGATTTTGCATAATAGGGGCCCTTTAAATCAGTTCAAACAGTTCAGTGAATCAGTTCAAAACTTTGATTAAATGATTTGCTCATGTTGTCTCAAAAATGTTCCCAGTGTGGCATTTTTCTTTTATTAATTTTTTTTAATATTACAAATATAATAGATTGAAAAAAATATATTGTGAATTGTTAATTTAGTGAAAATGTAATGAAAAAAAAAAAGTATTTCTTAATGGGGGCACTTAATGGAGTTTTAAAATTGTAAACCTTTTTAACATTTTTTTCAGGCTTTATTGACTTATTTATTTATTAGTTTTAAGTTGTAAAATTTAAGCTTTTTGAACCTATAGGCTGAACATAAATTGCAGAAAGTATATTGTGATTTAATTGTTAAAAATGACATGCCAATTATTTATTTGTTTGTTTGTTTGTTTGTTACTGGGTTCAAGTTTAAACATTAAAAAAAAAAATATATGAATCTTTAGGCTACAGTGGCTGTTTGGCCAAACTATATTTGTTCTTACTAAAGAAAAAATTAATGAAGCCCGTTTAAGCCACTTACAGTGCCGTGAAAAGGTTTTTGTCCCCTTCCTGTTTTTTTTTATTTTTTATTTTTTGCGTATTTATCACACTTAAAAGATTCCGATCATCAAACTAATTTTAATATTACTCAAAGATAACCCGAGTAAATACAAAATGCAGTTTTGAAATAATTATTTAATTTATTAAGGGAAAAAAACCATCCAAACCTGCCTGGCACTACGTGAAAAAGTAATTGCCCCCTAAATCTAATAACTGGTTGTGCCACCCTTTGCAGCAACAACTGCAATCAAGCGTTTGCAATCAAAGCCTTAGAAATGGCTTGTATCAGTCTGGAAAGGGCTAAACAGGTCTGGCAGTAATCAGGCCTGCGTGTGGCTAGTGAAATTTAACTCAGCTTTCTAAAATAATGTGGTTAATCACAGTTCTTTCATAATTTAACGGAGGGGGGCAATTACTTTTTCACATAGGGCCAGGCAGGTTTGGACAGCTTTTTTCCCTTAAATAAAATCATCATTTAAAAAAATGCATTTTGTATTTACTTGCATTATCTTTGTGTAATATAAAAAATAGTTTGATGATCGGAATCTTTTAAGTGTGACAAATATGCAAAAAATTAAAAAAACAGGAAGGGGGCAAAATCCTTTTCACGACACTGTATATTATAAATATTGCGTTATATATCATTAAAAAGGCTGAAAATATCAGGAATTATTTTTTTTTTTTCAGTATTTTTAAATAAATAATATTTTACATGTGTTCTAGGACAACAAGAGGCAGAAAAAGACTCTGAAAAAGACTCGCAAGTTCATCGTGGATGGTGTGGAAGTCAGCGTAACAACGTCCAAGATCATCACAGACAATGACACCAAAAGCGAGGAGATGAGATTCCTCAGGTGAGACATCAGCTGCTTAACTGCTCTGAGATGATTTGCATGTTTGCTTCATGTTTGCATCATATTTGCATTCATTGGTAATGACTTTAGAAATGTTATGGTAAAAGCTTCTGCCTCTTCTGCTTGTAACATCACCTCTTTTGGTAAATGTACACAGACTGCTAGTGGCCTTAAGTGTTCAATCGTCTTTCATGGCAGGACGGAATAAAAGAGGTGATGTGCTGTTTTTTTTTAAACTACAAAGCGACAAATAGTTTCCTGTGCAGTGTTTATAAGTGCAGTTTTCCAACACCAGATGTGCTAAAGGGAAAACAAGCTGAGTGATACTTCCTGTTCCTGCCTGGACGAGCATCCTGTTAGACTGGATAGTGCCATTTCTAAAAAAAAAAAAAAACTCTGCCGTTTTCATACTTAAGCAATTTTAAATCAGCATTTGTAGGTGGATTTATTTGATTGCATAAAAAGCTAAAAATTTCATATAAAGGTAATTTAAATACTGCGCATTCTTAAAAATAAAGGTTCCAAAAGGAAATGTTTCCCCAAAAAAATACCATTTTAACATTTTAAAAATCGAAAGAATCTTGTTCCACTTGTAAAGAACTTTTTATGGAATGGAAAGGTTTCGTGGTACTTCATGGAATGATAGATACAAATAAAGAACCTTTATTTTTGTATTGTTTGATCAGTGTAAAATGAGTGTCAAATGTTTGTGTTTCAGGCGTCAGGAGCTGAGGGAACTGAGACTTCTTCAGAAAGAGGAGCAGAGAGCCCAACAGCAGCTCAGCAACAAACTCCAGCAGCAGAGAGAGCAGATCTACAAACGCTTCGACCAGGAAGTCACGGTGAGCAAGAACAAACAAAGATATTAAAGGGATAGTTCACCCAAAAATGAAAATTCTGTCATTAATTACTCACCCTCATGTCGTTCCAAACCCACAAGACCTTCGTTCATCTTCGGAACACAAATTAAGATATTTTTGATGCATTCCGTGAGTTCTCTGTCACCTCCCATAGACAGCAATGTAATTACCACGATCAACATCCAGAAACACAACGTTAAAATAATCCATGTGACATCAGGGGTTCAACCGTAATTTTACAAAGCTACGAGAATACTTTTTGTGCGCAAAGAAAACAAAAATAACGACTTTATTCAATAATTCGTCTCCTCCGCGTCATTTTGGAGAGTATCACATACGTATGCAACGTATGTACGCGGATGCGCTGTTTACGTAATTTACGCTTTGATCTGAACGTAAACAATGTATCCGCGTACATGCGTTGCATACGTTGTTTACGTATGTGATACTCTCCAAAATGGTGCTATGGGGTGATGCGCAGGAGAAGAGTTGTTGAATAAAGTCATTATTTATGTTTTATTTGCTCACAAAAAGTATTCTCGTAGCTTCGTAAAATTACGGTTGAACCACTGATGTCACATGGATTATTTTAACGTTGTCCTTACTACGTTAGGACCCTTGCTGTCTATGGGAGGGGTCAGAGAACTCTTGGAATGCATCAAAAATAGATTAATTTGGTTAGGTCTTACGGGTTTGGAATGACATGAGGGTGAGTAATAAATGACAGAATTTAAATTTTTGGGTGAACTATCCCTTTAAGATCTTTCATTGCTGGAACTGGATCATATCAAAACAAGTACAATCAAACAACTATTCACTGGGATCACTCTTAAAATGGCACCTTGAAACCATGCACTGTTGCCACATAAGAAACCAAAAGCCTGTCAAGATACTCTGTTGATGTGATTTTCAGGTGTTTATTACACTAATAGCCTTAGTTAGAAGCATACACATTGTTTGCACTCCTGAGACTAGTGATGACACCAAAACCAGAAACACTGGCAAGAACCTTACTGAGTTACGTCACATGCTCAGCAGTGTCATTATATTTAGGGTGCGTAATCTGTGTCTGATTATTAAGGGAAGGTCAGTATTTTAAGCTACATTACCTGGAACCGATTTCTATGTCTCTGTCTTCTGACTGTCTTCTCCCTACTTATTTCTATTTGTCTCAGTATTTTGAGTGGCTCTGTAGGGGCAATACTTGTAGATCTGCTTTATAATTTCTGTTTTCTCATCTTGTCAGAGTAAGAAGCGTCAGTATGATACGGAGGTGGAGAATATGGAGCGGCAGCAGAAACAGACCATCGAGCGTCTGGAGCAGGATCACACCGAGCGCCTCAGAGACGAGGCCAAACGCATTAAAGCTGAGCAGGACAAAGAGCTCTCCAAGTTTCAGAGTACGCTCAAGAACCGCAAGAAAGAGGTATGTTGTTCCTCGCTTTCCAGATGATGCATACTGTTTTTGATTTTAATAATTTGTGAGCTCATCTCCCAGATTGCTTCTGATGTGTCCTCAGCTAAATAAAATGTACGTGGCCTGAGCTTCACCCTGTAAATTCCACCCAAATATTCTTTATCTTCCCTCTCTGACTGACATTTTTCTGGGGGGTGCAGGAGCTCTCGCCTAAACATGTGAGCATCCTGAAACATATTAGGGAGGATCTAATACAGACTCCTTGTGAGGAGGTAACATCCAAAAACATATTTTCTAAGTTTTTTCCACTACTTGGTTTTTCTAGATGAGGCACATTTTGGCTGTTTTTAGTTTGTGTAGTGAATGTTTTCTTTCAGATCTGTTTTTTTTTTTTTTCTTGATTCCTGTGTTGTTTGTTTGCACGACACTAAGAATTTATAGTAGGCTATATGAAAAGAGTGTGACACTTCTGATTATGTGTTGCATGTTACACGAGCACAATGAGGTGAATTGTTTCTGCTCAGTTTTGTGTGTTGGTGTTTTGGTTGGTTCAAATGTATTCAGATGCGTTTGTTTATACAGTTTAAGTATGAATCCGATATGCGTGTCTTAACTGACGATAGCTCACAGGATCTAGCTCATGTGATGACAGTCTCTCCAGCGAAGCCCTGCAGGACGTAAGCAGTGTGTCTGATGACTGTGTGCCTTGAAACATGAACTCTGCTTTCCGTTATTTTCTTTTTAACTGTCTACATAAGAAATATTAACAGTGTTAGCTCGTAAGGTTAAAGCAGTTTCATTCTTTTAATTATTTCAGGCCTTTTAATGTCATTTTTGGACATCAAGGTACATCTCAAAAAATTAGAATATCATGAAAAATGTCAATATTTTTTGTCACTCATTTCAGAAAGTGAAACCCATATATTATATAGATTCATTACACATAGAGTGAAATATTTCAAGCCTTTATTTCTTCAAATTTTGATGATTATGGCTTACAGATAATGAAAACCCAAAATTCAGTGTCTCAGAAAATTAGCGTGTTCAGCAGCACGATTTGTGTGCATGTCCTGTTTTCTGTTTTGACTAGCAAATATAAAGAGCAGGCTTTTAGACTGATTATATTTTAATAAATTTTTGTGCATCTCATTTTATGGATTAGTTGCACTCAGACTTTGGATTAATTTGTTGAATAAATGTTTATTGAATGTGAATGTTAATCATTTACTTCCTGTAAATTGTATTTAAAGCCGAAGTGTGTCATTTTTCTGGTCAGTGCAGTGTTTTCTGATTAGACTTGTGCCGGTATTCGGTAATGCGATATATCACGGTAATGAATATGCACGATATTGTTATGGTGGGCACTTCTAAATACGTGAATAATTATATATTACTAATTATTTAGAAATTTGAATGCATTTTAAGAATACTTTTCCCATCAACTGGTCAAAATGCACAACACCGCTGTATGCTGCGTGAAAGACGCGTGCGCACTCTGATGTAAATAAGCGCGGACGAGAAGCACATGGCGGAACATGTGAGAGACGCTCTGGATGAAAGCGCACTTTCACTCTCTGACAGCAGATGGCGCTAAACTGCAGAAATAATAATAATAATAACAATAATTCATTTAAATGCAGCCGTTACCACGGAAACCCTGTAAACAAAGCAGCTGCACTACTTCCTGTTTCTGAATCATGTTTAAATATGTGTAAAATATGTACAATTAATTCTAAGTATTAGATATAATACAAATATTTAGCTGAAGTATTGTATTAATACTGGGCTCTTTTTTAATTAATTTAAATAATTCAAATTATAACTTATAGCAAATAATAATAATAATAATAATAGCAACTAAAATATGAATTTAATTTTATTATTATAAAAGTGATAACTAATCAATTAAGAAAGAAATAATATTATTGTACTCTAAAATAAAAAATACATTATTGTCAGGATTCTGGACTGTCTGTCGTGTTCCTGCCTCCTGTTTCTTTATACCCTTATTTGGTAGTTCCTGTTTCCTGATTTATTAAGTTCCATTTGTCTCAGCTGTGTTCTATTAATTATCCTGGATTACTCCTTACCTGTTTCTGTTCTCCCTGATTGCGTTCATGTGTTCATAAGCCCCAGTCTGTTCAGTTAGTGTTTGTCGGGTCTACTTGTTATGTACGTGTTTGCTCCAGCGCCTATTGTGTGGATTTCCCCTGTGTTCTATGGATTAAAGACTATTGATTGTGCTTCACGTTTCTCTCGTGCTTCCTTCCAACAGCGGACCGTGACAATTATGTATTAATAATATATATTTTTTAATTATAACAATTAAGCAATCAAAAACTTACTATTGCAATAACCATATTGCACTGTAAAATAAAAAGTCAGAATTTAATAAAACAAAATGATTATTTTTGTTATTATTTAAATTAATTACATTTTATATTGAAATTATATAAATCAATAAATGTTACAATGGCAATAATCCTAATGCACTTTAAAATAAAAAGTATTTCATAATAAAAAATAATAATTAATATTCTTATATTGTATTAGTTATTTTATTATTTAGATTATACCCATCTTTAAAAAAAAATCCATCAAAACACTATTGCAATAATATAGCTTTTAGTGATATTGCTATACTATTATATATAATAATATAGCGCTATACTATTTTTTTACATATTGCTGCTCTTTTGTTAGTTTGATTGCTTCTATTGTCCTCATTTGCAAGTTGCTTTGGATAAAAGCATCTGCTAAATTATTAAATGTAAATGTAATATTATTGCACTGGTAAATAAACAGTCAGTATTTTTAATAATAATAATAACCAAAACACAAATTTTATTTTATTATTACAAAAATAACTCATCAATAAAGAAATATGATTGCAATAAAACTATTGTACTGTAAAATAAAAACTCAGTATTTATTATTATTATTATTATTAATAATAATAAATACTTTTTATTTTACAATACAATAGGATTACTGCAATTGTAACATATTTCTTTGCTCATTTGATATACATTGAACAAAATTATAAACGCAACACTTGTTTTTGCCCCCATTTTTCATGAGCTGAACTCAAAGATCTAAGACTTTTTCTATGTACACAAATGGCCTATTTCTCTCAAATATTGTTCACAAATCTGTCTAAATCTGTGTTAGTGAGCACTTCTCCTTTGCCGAGATAATCCATCCACCTCACAGGTGTGGCATATCAAGATGCTGATTAGACAGCATTATTATTGCACAGGTGTGCCTTAGGCTCACATTTTAGAGTGGCCTTTTATTGTGGGCAGCTTAAGGCACACCTGTGCAATAATCATGTTGTCTAATCAGCATCTTGATATGCCTCACCTGTGAGGTGGATGGATTATCTTGGCAAAGGAGAAGTGCTCACTAACACCGATTTAGACAGATTTGTGAACAATATTTGAGAGAAATAGGCCTTTTGTGTACATAGAAAAAGTCTTAGATCTTTGAGTTCAGCTCATGAAAAATGGGGGCAAAAACAAAAGTGTTGCGTTTATAATTTTGTTCAGTGTATGAGTACCAACATTAGCACCAAATTGCACTTTTTTTTTTCAGTTTGGGCCTGTAATTTTTTTTCCTCATGTATGAGCTCCATATTCTTCAAGATTTTTTTTTTATGACAAAGCAGCTTTTATTTTAAATATAGGCCTGTTTAGAGGAATGAATAGTGATTAACAGTTAAAGTCGAGACATTGGTCTAAAACTAAAGACTAAAATGGTTAACTTAACTTTTTCTGTTTTGCCTTAGTTCTCTAATTTTTCTCTTTTTTTTCAAAAATACGGCCTATCCTTCCCAAATGAATGTGTTTTGTTGTTTTTTTCCCCGATTTCTAAAGTTATGTATGTGTGTGTGTTTATAGGAGCAGGAGTTTCTTCAGAAGCAGCAGCAGGATCTGGACAGCGCTCTGAAGAAGATCATTCAGCAGCACAAACATGAGCTGGCCACTATTGAGAGAGACTGTCTCAACAACAAGCAGCAGCTCCTCAGAGGTCAATATTAGCACTAGTCTCCTTCCCATTCTTCCCAACTCTTCATTTACAGCTTCTGCAGCGTTAGCATTTCGGACTATTCAGACAGGGCTTTAGTGGGTAATGCTTGTCATGTGGCCTTTAGCAGTCTGGTCTGGTCTGATCTGATCCTGCTGTTAAATGCATTACCATGGCATCTGCTCCATATGACCTCCTCAGGTTTTTTTATAGGGGCTCCTACTGTATTTCAAACAAAGTCGAATGTAATTCCTACTCGAAATCTCAGATGCCCAAAGCCTATTGTGTCTGATGTTCAGAAGGTGATATATAGAACTAAAATTGCATTTGTTTGTTCTGGTTTGCACATTTGTTTTACACACCTCTCTATGCAAACATGGGCTAAACCAGTTTTTTGTTGACTTTGATGTATTTTGGGCATCAGCCTTTTATATTTATTCAAATATTTTTTTTCCTGGGTATTAGAGAGAAAATATAAACTACTGTTCAAAGGAATATCCATTTTTCATATTGTATGTTATGTTTTGATGCCTAAAATCGGTTCTTTCGGATTCTTGCAGCCCGAGAAGCCGCTATGTGGGAGCTGGAAGAGCGCCACCTACAGGAAAAACACCAGTTGCACAAACAGCAGTTGAAAGACCAGTACTTCATGCAACGACACCAGCTGCTTAAAAGACACGAGAAGGTTACTTCCCAGATCAGTCTTATATATGCTCTTCTGGCGGCTATTGGTGTGAATTTGTTTTCACTCTAAATGTGTTTCTGTATAGGAAATGGAGCAGATGCATAGGTATAACCAGCGTCTGGTAGAGGAGATGAAGAACAAACAGACGCAGGAGAGGACCAGACTGCCTAAGATCCAGCGCAGTGATGCAAAGACACGCATGGCCATGTTCAAAAAGAGTCTGCGCATCACGACCACAGGGGTCACGCCAGAACTGGAACGTGAGAGGGTCAAACAGGTCAGAGGTCATATCGGGTTCAGACTGAACGATTAAAGGAATAGTTCACACAAAAATTACAATTCGCTGAAAATACTCACCCTCAGGTCATCCGAGATGTAGATGAGTTTGTATCTTCATCGGAACAGATTTAGAGAAATTTAGCATCACTTGTTCACCAATGGATGCTCTGCAGTGAATGGGTGCCGTCAGAATGAGTGTCCAAACAGCTGATAAAAACATCACAGTAATCCACAAGTAACCCACACTACTCCAGTCCATCAATTAAAGTCTTGTGAAGCGAAAAGCTGCATGTTTACAAATAACACATCTATTATTATGACATTTTTTAATTCAAGCCTTAGCTAAAATACAAGTACTTTATCGATAATATTGCTTTCTCCAGTGAAAAAGTCTCCTTGTCTGAATCAGGAGAGAAATATGCACCTGATCAAGCACCGTTTAAGCGAAAACTATCCAAAACAGTTTTAAACAAACACGTCAGTGTATTTTGATGGGCTTTTTCACTGGAGGAGCTGTTATTATAAATTATGTATTGTTATGTAGATTTTAGGGTGACCTATTCCTTTAATAGGATAATTAGCTCTACTACGAATCGCGATCTCGATTCCATTTCGATTTATCATGCAGCCCTAAGCTCTACCGTACATGAACATGAAAAGTGAATTGTTGTTTCTGCAGAATTCTGCACTGTTTTTAACATTTTAATTGGCCAGTTTAATTTTTTATGCTGTAAGGGAAATAAACATGCTTAATTAAATACCCAATATTGGCTGATATATATGCAGCCAATGGGTACCGATTAATTAAAATTTGTAATATTGCCATAGTATGTTATCGGATGCTGTTAGAGATTTTAATTAATTGGTATCCGTAGATATTGGGTATATATCAGTCAATATTGCAAAATGTGCTGATAGCACTTTTATATATCCAATATTGCCGGTTACCAATTGAAATATATAATATTGGACCATAATATTATATATTATATATAGTGCATCCCTAAATATTTTAAACGTATTGCACAGATTATTTTCTTCTTGTAGTCGGTATGTTTTTGTTTGTGTAGTAAATATTGTATATTTGTTTGGCCAATGAACAGTTTGCAGCACAGGAGGAGAAGAGACAAAAGAACGAGCGTCACCATCAACACCAGAAACATGAGACTCAGATGAGAGACCTGCAGATGCAGTGCGACGCCAACGTCGGAGAACTACAGCAGCTGCAGGTACACGCATAGCAGAGACACCGTACATTGTTTTTATAAAAGCAAAAGTGATAGAGTCTTCTGTGTGTTTTAGAATGAGAAGTGCCATCTGTTGATCGAGCATGAGACTCAGAAGCTGAAGGAGCTGGATGAGGAGCACAGCACAGAGCTCAAGGACTGGAGAGAGAAACTCAGACCCCGCAAGAAGGTACCACTTACTGTTATTAACACTAGTACTTAACCTTAGTCACAGTTCTGAATGGTTGAATTATTATACATTTTGTTTTCTTGGTAAACGCCCTATTACAAAACTTTCTCACACAGAATGAATCTATAATGATGGACTATGAAAAGATTTGATGTAATGCTTCATCCACACCACTAGGTGTCAGTCCAACAAAACATAACTGAGTGCACCTTTACTATTCAACATTTCAATCATGTTAAGAAGGTTTAATTAGTGCATTTACTAAGAACGTGAAACCTCTGCGTGCAGGCCCTTGAGGAAGAGTTCGCCCGTAAGCTACAGGAACAGGAAATGTTCTTCAAAATGAGCGGGGAGTCTGCATGCCTTAACCCCTCCACCCAGAGACGGATCTCAAAGTTCTACCCCGTCCCGAGTGTCCACTCCACCGGCTTTTAACACACACGTTCACACTAAAAGCACAGAGATGCTAAACTGCATTGGGACTGAACCTCAGCTGCCTTGTTCCCTCTGATTGCTGATGTCAGGCAGAACGAAGGAGGGACTTCGTTGTTCCAGTAATATACAGAGAAGTTTTTGCTTTTGTTTTTTTAATTTAAGCTTTAAAAGTGGATTTTCAGTGTGGTTTCCCTAAACATTTCAGCAATGGTTTATGAAAGATAATGTGATTCTATATGCCACTAAATTGATCTTTGTTTTTTTATTTATTTTTTGAATCAGTGGTCTCAGTGTCTTAATGTTGTGGTTTACTGTGATATTTTTAGGATTATATCTGCGTACATGGAATGACTGTTCAACTTCAGGCTAATTTGCTTGCACTAAACTAAGCGAATGATTTAACTAAATCTAAATCAGAATCAAAAATCTGAATGGTAATAAAATGTTCTTAAATCTAATGAAGTTTAAAGGCACATTATTTAGAGCAGTGGTTCCCAACCCTGGTCCTGGAGGCACCCCAACACTGCACATTTTGCATGTCTCCTTTCTCTGACACACCAATTTGGAGACTCTACTAATGAGCTGATGACCTGAATCAGGTGTGTTTGATTAAGGAGACATGCAAAATGTGCAGTGTTGGGGTGCCTCCAGGACCAGGGTTGGGAACCACTGATTTAGAGGTAAATACCTTATCATTTAGGATTTCTTGGATATTTAAATATATTTGACTGTCTGTTATCTCACATCACTTTTTTGAGCTTTGTTTATCATAATATGGATCTATAGGATTTATAGTAGCAGCAATATTCATTTCTTTGAGATGTTTTAGCACAGGGGTGCCCAAACTCGGTCCTGGAGGGCCGGTGTCCTGCAGAGTTTAGCTCCAACCCTAATTAAACACACCTGAAGCAGCTAATCAAGGTCTTACTAAGAATACTAGAAGCTTCCTGGCAGGTGTGTTTAGGCAAGTTGGAGCTAAACTCTGCAGGACACCGGCCCTCCAGGACTAAGTTTGGGCAGCCCTGTTTTAGCATATCACACTGTATGCAAATATCCTGACGTCACTGTGGTTTAAAGTGCATTTGCGCTTGCACTGCTATGCAGTGTGATCATGTAGCCGAATTAAATCATCTTAACTTATATCTGTGAACTTCAACGCAAGAGAGCTCAATCTCTTCATATTGTCCGTACTACTTATTCTACAAAAAAACAAACAAATGGTTTTACGATTACATGCGTTTTAGTTCACCCAGACATCTGTACAATACATTAGTGTACCTTTCAGTAAAATTGTCTATAGAGGATGAGGTGCCCTGTAAACCAATGTACTTTAATCAGTCAGGTGTTCTTTTATTCTTGTATATTGTAGCACATTTTTGTAGTAATAGTTTTCTTTTCATCTCAACTGTCAACATACAGTTTAAAATGTTTCCTGCATTTACATTTGTGCCGTAGTCTGTAAAAACTGAACAAAACATTTAAAATCTGTGAAAAAAGACAGAAATGTCAAAACACACAGTTCTTGTCATTACGATCTCCTGCAGGTAGTCGCACACTCCGTGTATTCATGATGCCTGTTTGCATTTTGACTGAGTTTGTCTTGATTTTTTTTTAAGCTTTTTCAATTTGTGAGGTAAAGTTAGCAGCATAACAGTTGTATGTACTGTGTTTGTGTCTAAGATTAAATCATTGTGATTATAGGAAGCTGCTGTAATTAAAACATTTGTGGTGAATAGTTCCGTCATCTGGGTCTCTCTAGTCAAGCGTCACTGTTTATGAACATTACTGTAAGTATCTTGTAAGCCACAACTTTATAAAAAAAAAAAAAAAGATAAATCTTTATTCTCAATTTAAAAGTCAAGCCACTTTTGAGTCTAATGAAAGCATTTTAACAGCACAAATGACGAAAAGCAGAATATAAAGCACATCCCCAGATTGTTAAATCCCATTCTGCATTCATGCAAGAAAACCAAAACATTCGCAAAAATGTTTTTTCTTAAAACTGGCATCATAAAGGTGAATTTGATCATGTAATGCTTGTTAATTCAATGTGAATATATTTAGCTTTTTGTAATAAATTGATCTAAAGTAAGAAAAAAAGAACAGAAAAGACTAAATATGTACATGTCATTTTTAAAGCATTCGCTGCTTTAGGCACACTAGCTAAATGCACTGCTCCTCCTCCTCCTGCGAGTGACATATGAAGCCTCACCTGTAGAGAAAAAAGGCTTGTTTTGACAGTATCATGAAAAAAACGTTATGATCATTCATGTATTTTGTAAACTGATACATACCCTTCTCTCCCTTTTGTCCTCTCATTCCTGGGTTGCCTGGGAAGCCTGGTTGACCTTGGAATCCTCTGTCACCTGCATGGATTGTAGAAAAACCTGAAACGAGGTAGAGGAGATTTGAGCAGTTATGCTGTTGCTGATGTTTATACGGACAAAAAGTATGATGAAATTCAGATATAGCTTGTAATGTAAATCAGTGAGAACTTTATAACAGACTACTTCTATTTCATAAAATGCATATAAATATCAGTCGTCACTCTATATCCCTTAATTATGTATTATTTTAAATGCTTCGTTTTACGATCAAAGCTCTGTAGTTTTTATTGTGAGGGATCAAAACGTAATACAATGATGATTGACAGATTAAAAATAAACTTTCGTCAAAAGACTAATGTATCATATTTGATACATTTTAACGGTTTTTCTAAAAAAAAAAAAAATACTAAGTTGCATCAGTCCAGCAAGTGCTCATCTTGAAATATTACTAATAATATAAAAGTTATTCTTACATGTACTTAATAAAAATAAGATAAAATACATTTGAACCACAATCTGAAGGGGGAACAATTTGACCAATTATACTAAAAGGCATTTTACTTACTAAAAAAGTATAAACAATTTAGATTTTTATGTAATTTGTATGGATTTGTCTCTTTGTAAACAGGACTGTTAAGTCATGACATGTCACTTCCTAGTATCTTCACACAGATATTAAAGGTAACTAGGTTTGCTTGCTTTGCTGACCCTGACATGAACATCATATGGGCATGTGATATGTACCTTTCTGTCCTGGTGGTCCAGGATATCCTGGCTCCCCTTTCTGCCCTGGTACACCTGGTGGTCCAATCATATGGTTTTCTGTAGAAACAGTCAATTGTAATTAAAACCATGCATAGTAAATATGTAAGATTTTTTAAATTTTTTTGAACAAGTTCCATCTTGCCTCTGATGTAGTCCATGATCGCTGTCATATTGGGGGAAGAAAATTCTAGACTGATTCCTGGAGGTCCAGGGAGTCCAGGGAATCCATCACGTCCAGGGAGCCCAGGGAATCCTGCTGGACCTTGTGGACCTGGAATCCCTGTCAAACCATCTTGGCCTTGTAACAGGCCATGAGCTGTGGAAAAATGCAAACATACAAGACTCAACAAAGAATTCCTACATCTGTTTCTGCCCATATCTTGTTCTTTTCGAGGCTATTTAAATGACTGCCACATGTAGCATAACTTACACTTAATGTAATCGGAAACCTGTTTAGCGATAACTGCGTAATCCAAATTCTCGTCAGAGCTCGGGTGCCCTGCAAAAGTCAAGTCACATTTATTTATACGGCGCTTTATACAATACACATCTTTTCAAAGCAGCTTCACAGTATTAAACAGGAAAATAACAGAATCAATCATGCAAACGTCATCAAATATGAGACAAATTCAAATTAAAAAGTCAATACTAGTGTCATTATTCAGCTCAGGTCACTGTTAAATCAGTTCAATTTAATAAGTATGTACAGTTACAAAACAAGTTGAATTCAGCTATAAGCAGCTCTACAGGAAACAATGGTGTCGTTATCCAGGGAAGTCAGTTTAATACTGATTCAGTTCAGTAACAGTGTCGATGTTGCAAAATACATCAATTATGAAATGAAACAGCTCTAAAGCAGCTCTACAGAAGACTGTAATGTAATTATTCAGCTCAATTAATCTCATCTGATAAACAAGCCACCAATGAGCGAGACTTGAGATGAAATACAGTTAGCAAAACACTCTTCTTACTATTGATATACTCCTGAGGCTCTGCGCGGATTTGCTGTTGGTTTTCGTTAGCAGCGTAAGACACTAGTCCTCCGGCACTTCCTGGTGCTCCTGGGGGACCGGGAGGTCCTGGAAGACCTCTGAAACCAGAATCTTAAACGCACCAATGAGCGAGACTTGAGATGAAATACAGTTAGCAAAACACTCTTCTTACTATTGATATACTCCTGAGGCTCTGCGTGGATTTGCTGTTGGTTTTCGTTAGCAGCGTAAGACACTAGTCCTCCGGCACTTCCTGGTGCTCCTTGAGGTCCTGGGGGACCGGGAGGTCCTGGAAGACCTCTGAAACCAGAATCTTAAACAACACAGTTCATACAAAATGGATATCAAAAATCATTTTAATATAAGCTGTTCCTATATAAAATTAGCCTAGTAGCATCAGTGGTTAGCAGATGTGTTTTTTTGCAATGGCCAATTCTTAATTACATTTGGTCACCCACATCCTGGAAGTTTCAGTCTTGCTGTTAACAAACTTTAAATCTTAACAGTTTCATATAGACCACTGTTTCTTGAGCACAAATCAGCACATTAGAATGATTTCTGCAGGATCATGTAACACCGAAGACTGGAGTAAAGATGCAGAAAATTCAGCTTTGCATCACAGGATATTACTGTATTTTACTGTTTTTTTTTTTACCAAATAAATGCATACTTGGTAAGCATAAAAGACTTCTTTCAAAACCATTAAAAAATTATATCGACCCAGGTCTTACCGTTCATCAGTCTTAGCACTCGTCCAGCAACTTCCTGAGTGTTAAAGCCATATCCACCTGGCACACCTGGGGGTCCTGGGGGCCCTGGAGGACCAATCAGGTACTGCCTCACCTCATCTCCTATATATTACCAAAGAATGTGTGGATGCACCAAAATGTTTCATAAAGCACTTTAGTTGAAAGTTACATTTGTTTATAAAATGCCAAAATAAATTTGAAAACAAAAAAGAAAGCTCTTAAGCACACATTTCACACTCACTTTGAAGGTATTCAATAACACGGTTAGCCAGAGAATCTTCAGAGCCTGATACGGGAGGTCCTGGTGGTCCAGGTGGGCCTGGAGGTCCGGTCAGGTATTCTCTGATGGGTTCACCTACAGAGAACATGAAATATTACAGCTTATTTACCCATTTATCTCTATAACCAGTTAAAGGTGTCTTTTCTAGTAGCACCAAATGGAACTAAAACTTCTAAAAGATGCTTGTCCACTCAACATTCACTAAAAAAAAGAGTTTTAGTGCTTGTTCAAATGACTTGGTTAAAATGAGCATGAGCAACATTTTCTATGTAACTTATTTCTATTATGTTCAGTCCACTTAAATTTGTAAAAATAAAAAATAAAAATTCTCATTTTGTGTTGGAACTACTTGAATAATTTTTGTTGATGTAACTAACTGAACAGTGGATGTGTAGTTCCCA